ATAATTATTTAAAAATAAATATTAAAAGTAGAAAAATAGTACATATTTTGCATTAAGTTGCTGTTATATATTATAAGACTTTGAAGATTTTGTTTATTCTGTGAAAAATTTAGAACAAGATATCTCTGAAATACTCATTCAATACAGATATGTATGTATGTGTTATAAACATTCCATATTTTCATTTTAAGAACTGTACATTACTTTTACTTCATAATTTGTAAGATAAAATGAGAGAAATGTTTTAATTTAACTTGTACAATCAACTGACAAGTATAAAGTATTACAAAGTATTGTCATATGATTAATAAAATTAAAATTCTTGTATTAGCATATAAACATACAGTGAGAAAGTATAATACAGATAATGCACACAATGCATTACAAACTGTATGTATATGCATGAAAATTCAACAAGTAATAAGTGATCATATTAGAAACAGAAAAAAATGAACAAATTACCTTTATCATATATCAAACAGTATGCAACATCAAATTTTCTGTATAAGAACTATTGCTGATAAGTTATAAATATATATTGGCATGTTACTATTAAATTCTTTAAGTTATAAATATTTATTGACATGTTAATATTTAAATAACATTTTATCAAAAACCAACTACAAAATTTAACTGTATAAATTTTTAAGATGTTCAAAACAAAGGTAATACTTAAAAATTGATAAAAATCCTTAATTTCATTGATCAAAAAAATTTTATTTTCATTTGCTGTCTAATTTTAAAACACAACTGTTATATAATTTGTTATAAGGAACTCATATTAAATAATGTTAAAATGTTAAGTATTATCTTTAAAATTTTAGCTTACCTATGTCAACTAAGGGTGGTTTGTCACGTCCTCGTCGATAACACAAATAACATTCATTTGTTCGTAAACTTCCATGATTTAAATCAGCAGGTAAGCCTGAAACTGTATGTTCTAACAAAACATATCCTTCTGGACATTTCTCACCCAATGCTGGGAATATAATTGCAAGATCAGTAATAGGAGGTTTCATATTCATGTCTTTGACATGTGTTCCTTCTTGGTACCAATCTTCTAGTTTTTCATTATTTTCATTATCACTATCAAAGTCATTGTCTTGCCCGGGTAAACCAGCAATGACAAAGTAATCTGCTACCCTCCTTTCGTCCATGGTTATCTAATTATTCAAATTCCAAAACATTAAAGTACACAATATTTACAAATAATTTTAAAGAATAAATCAATTTACTAACTTTAAATAACAAAACAGTTCTTCACATGGCATTGAAACAATCCTTTGTTATCTTCCCTCATATATTCTAGAATTACTATTGTTACTTTGTGTTAAAAACAATTTTACTTAAATAACAATCTTCAAAGAAATTCCTTTGTAAAAACATCCTATAAATTTATATAATATATTATTATTTAATCACTAATAATTGCATTGGTACAACGTCATTAATTACCTTTTAAAAAGTATATTTGTTCCAATCATTCAGTTTTTTTTAACTAAATCTTTGTTTCAAACTTCCCAAGGTTATCATTTAGTACAAATACTAAACTTAAATTTTGAAAAAAGTAAGAATATATTTGTTCATATATTTACAGTTTTC